ATAAACCACCTTGGGTGTCCCCAAATGTAGGATACGGCCGGGTATGTTTTCATATCCTTAATTGAAAACATGTTCCACTTTAATCCTTCTACTTGACAAACATCTTTTGAACTTGCGAGCGCGCCTTCTGTCTCTCCTATTCGAACCTCGCATTTGTATTGCTCTTACTGGTGTAAGCAGTGGATCAACACCAGGATAACCTTTATCAGCAAGAAATTTTGCACCAACGGGAAGGCTCAAGGGCTGTCCCGGTCCTATGGGTGTCATCAGACGGTACGAGGCTGCATCGTTGGTGCTTCCAAGAAAGCCAGCTTGAACGAAACGTAAATGTCCATTATTGTCTATAACAAGTTGCGTGTGGAAGAAGTGTTAATGACGATGTCCGCTGTAACAGGTTCTCTGAGGTTCTGTGTAAGCCCGATATATATCGTGCGGTGTACTGTCGATCGCCCCTACTGCAGCTGAAAATTCGGGCCAATTTCCCATAAGATTCGTCCATTCAGCATTATTAGGCCATGAAATTTGATTTTGGAAATGTTACCACAGCTGAGGTATAATTCTATAAATGATTCTCGTGATGCTAGTAGGGTCAGTGTCAAATATTAGCGCAATGATATCGAGATGCGGATATTTTCTCAGCCATATMAGAATGAGCAAGACCTGGTTTGTCAGACCTAACTGTTGTCGTATAAGTCGTTGTCGTGGCTTTCCATAAATATTAAGCTGCAGTAAAGACTGTGATAAATCTGTAACTAGTTGTAAAAAGGATTCCGTAGTCTCACTGGTGTTTCGCCAAAACATCCAGGATTGTCCACAAATTAGGGAAAATACATCTCGTCCTTGATACGGATAGCCGTGAAAACCAGGCAGCAAACGCTGTTGTAAATTATACTGTATATGTTGAACTGGTGGTTGTAAGGCCACTAAAAGCATCAAGAACGCTAACACGAAAAAAGTTCCGTGCTTCTAAAAGATCCATTTATCATCGTTTACGTGCAACCCTAATTATTCAAACATTTTTATTCATGTTTTGATGTTCGAAGGAAATTAACACTGATTTTTCACATTCCTTCATGCACTATTTGCACTCTGTGNTGCCGAAATGCCCACCGTGTCTTATGAAACTTGCGCTTCCGTCAACGATAAGCTCGTATCATACAGCAATGTTCATCCTTTGTCAAATATATRCGCTGGAGATCTCAGTGGCAAAAGCGGTTGTAATCGCGATGGCGGTGGACCTCTCGCCTGCAAAAACGCCAATGGCGAATGGATTCTTCAAGGAATAGTGAGCTGGGGTGACTTAAGTTGCGATGGTGCCAAATTTTATTCTGTCTGTACCAGAGTAAGTTCCTTTATCGACTGGATCAATGAGGAGAAGACCGCGAAAACGATCCAACCACGTAAGAAATAGGCGTTTGATTGTTTACTTTTGTATACGCATCACAATCATCGGTATTGCTTACATGGATTCATCTCCTTCACTTAAAACCATTACTGCAGACTCCGATAACAGATCGTTTATTTTCGAACCAAACTCTCCCWCGTTTATAGACAAAAAKTTTTTTGTCGGGCATTCTCATACTCATTAATTATTCATGAGGTATCCAGCCAATCCCTGATTGTAATTTGTACCACTTGCAGTAACTGGATAGAGTTGTTTTCATAAACCCGTGAAACAAAGTGTAATAATTAGAGTGTAATAATAGATCGTAATAGTCGCTTAGAGACAATAAAAAACAATAGAGTCAAAGTGTGATAGCGRCAAATACGCTAAAGTGTGTTTCACCACTCTACCAGAGGAGYACTCCTACGTTGTATTCTATCTTATTTCCAGTTACTTCTAACTTGTTTCCAGTTACTTCTACCTCATTTCAAGTTACTTCTACCTTGTTTCCAGTTACTTCTACTTTGTTTCCAGTTACTCCTAGCTTTTTCTAACTACTACTAGCACAGGCAACCCAAGCAGAGCATACAAAAAACATTTTTTTAATAAAATCATCTTACCTTGATATCATGTGTTCTTGATGTTATTTAACATTGCTGTGTGTGGTTTTGAAGGGATTTAGACCTATTTTATAAAAAGATATCACCCTCAGTAGTAAAAGACTACAAGGCTGGTTACAGAGCGTCCACACCACTCGTCTTTAATAGCCGAAAAAAATATCTTAAATCCATCTTTTGCCTCCAAAATACCCTCAGCGGCATGTCTCTAGGATCCTTCTATCCAGAATTGGGCAACCTTTCAACGGTTTATAAATCCAACCGTGCCAAATCGTCATGTTTGTACGCTATTCRGACTCAATTTTTGCATCCGGTCAACCCTTCATCGACCTTGTTGGACACGGACTTTGACCTTCTTGCAAAACTCCGTCTGATTGGACGACAGTTTCCATGTAAACACTTCAAAAACTCCCGACTACTAAGGGGAGTGCAGAAAATTGTACAACTGTCTACATCCCTCAAGGGCGCGCCGAACCCGAAGCCGAACACGTGCACAGCTCAGGGAAAACTCAGACTGTTTTTATTTCGAAGTTTTCAACCGCGCGGCGCCATTTTTGAAGCACGCTGCATAGGTTTATTTTCAGAAAAGATGCAAAGTCAAAGTGTTTCAAGCATTATAAAATGGAATCTTTGGTAAGTTCCGTCGGTTCTTCTTACTTTATCAGTTTCGTAGCACTAGCTATTTTCATGTATAAAAAAGATGATGAATAGATTAAGCTTATAAGCTTAGTAAAACTTATTAGTTCTTGTTTCCAAAGGGTCTTGGCAAATTACGAATACAATGGTGAAAGTTCCTTGGGGGATGTAGACAGTTGTACAATTTTCTGCACTCCCCTTAGTAGTCGGGGTTTTTTGAAGTGATTCCATGGAAACTGTCGTCCAATCAGAGGGAGCTTTGCAAGACGGTCAAAGTCCGTGTCCAACAAGCTGGATGAAGGGTTGACCTGATGCAAAAATTGAGTCCGAATAGCGTACAAACATGACGATTTGGCACGGCTGGATTTATAAACCGTTGAAAGGTTGCCCAATTCTGGATAGAAGGATCCTAGAGACATGCCGCTGAG